TTATATTAACCCTGTATATCCTTATAAACCTATATATTCCCTCACGCACTCTCTCTCTAGATCACCTCTACTTGGAGGGTCAAGGGACTCAGCAAGGAGGTTACAATTGGTGTAACTCGTACTATTTCCAGCTTCAAGGTGTTGTAAGTGCGCTTGCCAAGTCCCCCTGTCCCTAAACCCTAAGCCCTACAGCCTCAACTCTATATCATAAACCCAAAACCCTGAACTCCATATCCTCAACCCTACACTGCTTAAAATCTAAACCCTAATGCAAAGGAGGTGATTTGCCGTGAGTCTGAGCTTCAGACGCACCGAAAACCCTGGTGGACTCAACCTTAGAAGGCCATGACGGCAATGAATGCGGTTTAGGGGTTTAGGGTTTAGGGCTTGATGGTTCATCTGTTTAGGAAAGCTTAGGGTTTAGGGGTTTAGGGTTCAGGGGTTTGGAGTTTAGGTGTTTAGGGCTCTAGGATTTGGGGTATTCCTGACTACATCCCTATACCTATAGAATCCCGAATGAGGACCCCCAGAACCTTGTTCAATCTCGAAAGCTTTGTGGTCCCTAGGGTCTCCCTATTTTGAGAAACTTCCATGGGTCTTCGTGAAAACTTGTGGCCCGAATATGGACGCCAATTTACCATAGTTCTTACTACACAGACTCCCAACAGGGGTCCCTGATTCTTGGAGAGGCTCATATTTACGGCCTATAAGCCACCTATATGGAGTAGATTCCCGTGTTGTAGGCAAGACGTGTACATATGGGGACTAAGGTGACCAATGCGTCGCACTTCAGGGTCTATGGCTTAAGGTTCTGGATTTAATTAGGGTGCATAGATATATGGGCCTTTGGGGCGTTAATGGGAGCATGTTCGCGCGTGTATACTGTATACATAATCATCGTGTATGTCCGTGTATGTCAAGGGGCTGTCGGCTCAATTAGAAATGGAGCGATTCGATGCTCGCGTTGCTTGCAGTCACGATTGCGGACAGGATTGTAAGAATTCCCACTAGGTATATTCAGCATTCTACATTACATGCATGCATCTTCAAAATTTTGAGCCCGTGAACCCAAATCTCTACACCTTACGCGACGAAAGGGTTTTCTATGTATGGTCTCCCCAGTGGATGCTCAGATGTAGGCTCAAACCAGAATTTTTGAGGAAGCCCATATGCACTCACAAGAACTCTCAACACAAAAAAAACAACAATACACGAGCTATGATCTCAACTCCTAAAGTATACCCTTTGAGAAGCCTCCATGTAGGAACCGTATATACCCCCGTTTGAGGACTTCAGACTAGACCTTACATCAGCGTGCTCGGCTTCCAGCAGGGGGTGTCCGCTCGGTGATCCAGCTGCGCCTCGGCTGATGCATGCTAGTTTGCTGTGAAGAAACCCTAAACCCCACCTGTGACCCCCATCACCTAAAGTTTTTTGGGTCATACCTGTTCATGAATTAATTAGGGGATAGTTGTACCCGAAACCCCGCCCGAAATTATCAGACCTTGGTAAGTTTGGTAGCTCTGTAGAAGCAAGGTCACACATCACATGTATAATGTGAACGATCATATGGCGCAACAGTAAGGCCGCGGCGACCGACATCGCAAGACGTCACCAGCCTTTCTGGCTTCTCTTTATACAGCCCTTGGCCCCTCCAATGCGGCTGCATTTACCTTGTTTTGACAGAATGCTTGTTTGACAACACTACATTGGAGGATCCCAAGGCCCTAAACCGTGACCCCCTACACCGCTTCAGCCCTGAAATCTGAACCTGACTCCAGGCTGGTCAGGTTGCGGGTTTTTTGGGGAGGCCTAGAAGCGATTGCGTAGGAGCCAAGATGTTTAGAGATGGAGTGTACACCAGGGATCTCGGACTACGATCAGGTTTGAAGCATTAGTCATAAGCCTATTTAAAAGCAAACTTACATATGTATGGCAAGAGGAAGCGGATACAACAATTTAGGTACAGAGCCCTCTTCTCAAACACATTGGTTACTCTAGTAGGTGGAAAAGATAGCCTTACCAGACCAGGTCAGCGGCACTCACTGCCGCCCAAAAGTGACAAAAAATGTTAGAACAAATGCTGTTAGAGTTGACATTCTGTGGTTTCGGGTTTAGGGAAAGTATGTGTGTATGCTTGGAAAGTAGTTTAGGGAAAGTATGTGTGTATGCTTGGAAAGTAGAAGCGAGATGAACACGATCCATCTTCCAGCCACTGTCTGGCAACCTAAGTGCAGCCACTAGGCGGCTGCACTCCCAAACACTAAATACTGAGACCCCAAGCCCTGGACGCCAAGCACTGAAGCCCAAACCACAAGTTTACCTGAGCTCTACGCCTGAGCTTGGAACTTTAAACATCCAAACAGCACAGCTACTCTGGAACTGCAGGGAGCTCGTACATGTCCAGCCAAAGGGTTTTTACAGTCTAGTTGCTTCAGGGACTCAAGGCTTACTTGCTTCAGATCTTCAGGTCACACCAAATTGGGCTTTACGTGCTTCCGTTCTACCATGGTCTCTCATCGTCCTAGATTTGCACGCCTTACTTTAAATAGACTTCCAAAAGCTTTGGATCTGACCCCAAGCCCCTGTACGACTAAGCTCCAAAACGCAAAATTCATTCTCCAAACTCTTGCCCCAATGAAACTTTACCGTTGGCTTCCTGTCTCCGGAACAACCTCAACCTGATATGCTAAACTTGAAGCCCTGAATGATGAATCTCAATCCTCAATTTTGAATCTTCCCCCCAGTCAAGCCTGCAACCCATGACCTAGCAGCACTTACACCCTAATAGGTATAATTCATCGAGCTGTTGGTGTAAGCCCTACAATCCTAAGCCCGCAGCCCCTGAACTCAAAGCTAATATTCGGCGCCTGCAACATGGTGGTAAACGATGCGCCCGGCGCCGACCTTACGGACCTGCGCGATGGGTTAGGGATTACCTAAACCCCAAAAGTATGTAAAATAATAGCCCTAAACCCCCCAATAATAGCCATAAAGGCCATTATTTTACATACTTTTGGGGTCCAGGTAGGCCTTCATCGACATTAGGTTGGGGTGTGCTCCGTGTCTGGAGTTAAGGTATGAGCAAACGCTTCAGTTTGGGTGGTTGTGATGGTTGGGTTCTTATAACACTAAGGTACTATCACAGCTTCCGGTTCAAGCATTTCGGGCTGATGCTTGAGGTCGAGAATTACCACCTCCTTTTGGTGGCTTTACGCGTGCATGGACTATGCTGAGCCGAATGCTTTCATGAAACCAATGCCTGTCAGCACGCGCTTCGACTAGTTGTTCAAGATACATCCCCTATTCTCCCGGTTATAATCTCCATGTTCTTGTGTGGCCCCCTGGGGTTACTGTAAGAACCTAAAGAATAACCACTATCAGAGTGCGCTCTTTTTTCAGTGGTAACCTGTGACTGTCAACATGCTAGAAATCTAGCATCATAATATTGGTAATTTCCTAAACCCTAAACCCTAAACCGAATTTCCCTATTGTGAGCCACGCCATATTGTTTCCCCGCTCAAGCAACTCCCAGTTCGTGTCAGACAGCCTTGGGAAAGGCACTGAGGTCTCATAGTGAGACATGCGACAGGGTTAAGGGCCTAGGGTTTTCGGGTTCAGGGTTGCCTTCAACACCGGCCTATAGGTTCCGCCTAAGTTAAGCTAAGCTCATCTGCCAGCATGGGCTGTATGATGGGCAGATCTTGTGACATCCCCACACCTATCTCAAAACTCAGTTTGCCTTGACTGCTAATATGGTTTCGCAGGATACAACTTCAAAACGGGGTGCTAAAAACAAGTCCTTGTGCCCCACTTTACCACCAAACCCCTCTACTGCCAAAAACACAACACTTTCCACTCTAAATCTTTGAAGCAAGCAACCGTAAATCCCAACACACACACAAACACCCTAAAAGATATCCTAAAATCCATGAAGTGTTGACTCAAAGTCAGGGCAGCGGAGGTTCCCAAGCCTGTCTCTACTCTCCCGGATATCCTTCCGGATTTCCGGGCTTCGAATGTGAGGAACTCGCAGTCTCATGCCGTTACTCCCATAACCCTTACCTGTAATCCAAGTTACATACAGTTTGTGTGGGTTTTACCTACTGAGCTATGGCTTAGCTACAGGTACTGGATTGTACCTCCTAAAATTATAGGTAAGGATTTACCGACCAAAATATAGGTAATGAAGGGCTACAGGGAGTCCTCAAAGATACAAGTATCCTGCAGCGGAGCAGCATTCCTCCAGTTATACAGATGCTGGTTGAAGGTAGAACAAGGGAAGTTTACACTTGGTGGAATTTCAGAGGGCTTTCCAATCCGTAAACAGGATGCAAATTGGGCCAAATGGGTTCCTGTATAGGTGTGCTGGACCCTTAATACTTTCCATTTAGGCGCTCTGACCCTTATGGAATGCCTGACCTCTCCTGCAGGCGCCCCAAAACTAAATCTTGTAATTTTTTTTGAACCAGGACTCTCTGATGTGCCTTAAACCCTAAACCCTAAACAGCGAGATCGTCCTGGAATGTCCCCCCTAACTTTGAAAGATGTGTGGGCGCTAGATGATAGGTGGTCCAAAGTAGCCTTTTTCATGTCCATTCCAAAAGGGTCCCTAATATCTAGGGCACAGCGAGAAGGACCATTTTGACAATGCCCAGAACAGAAGTATTCTTCTCAGGTGTGCTTGAGGCTGCGATGCTCAACTTCAAAGCGGCTGTTCCGCCCGTAGGTGAGACAGGAAATTGCTCTCATGGATTCAATTTCCCAGGACAAAGAACGCAAGGCTAGTGTGGGGATCTAACTATACTATGATATACTATGATAATATGTATCATGTTGAGCTCTATTTGGGGTACTTTTCTTTACTATACTATCCCATTTACAAGGATAGTCAGACAAGGACTCTAGGACCATCATGCAGGTAGTTATTTAGGCACCCCCCCTCCCAGTACATGCGGGTCAATGAGGCTTTGAAGAAAGGCTTAGGCCCACTTCAGGCCTCAACAATGCGTTTTCGCAAACTCCATAATGGACTTTTTGGCCATAGTCCACCTCGGTGGGTCCTTTTCCTTGCCTCAGCGTTCACTGGAGCTTTACGGCGTAGGATAGGATTGAAGGTTTGCGGGCTTAGGTTTCCGGGCAAGGGCTTCCTCCTTTCAGGAGCTAATTAGGGCTGTTCATGGATGCCATGGGGGTCAGTGTCTCTCACGGCTGTTGACTATAAGGTTTCTCAATACAATCTCCCCTCAAAAAGCCGCGTCACAACCGAACATTTGTGAAACTGCTGCATCAACATGAAGGAAGCAGCGCTACCCCCATGAACCCTTCGGCCGGAAGTTACACCCCCCACACAATCACAGAACCTGAAAATTAACCCTGCATGGACTACTGTCATTACAAAAGATTTTCTTCTGGAGTCGCACACCACGAATTGGTGTTAAGCAACATAACTTAGGGTACAACCTGGCCTGAATGTTGGCCAAGCCACTCACTTTGCATCGACCGAGGCTGATGATCTTGTCAGCATCATACCTGATAGAAAATCAGCGAGAGCGAAAGTGTAGGCAGTGTATATCAGGTATGTGAAGCGCGAGCTTCCACACCAACAACTTTGTTGTTTCAACGCTTTTTCATGCTTTGACTATTTATTGCTGGGGTTCACATTCCTGCTCCAGCCTCTTCTTCTGCTTCTTGAAAAAAAAAACCTAAATGGTAGTTTCCCAAAATGAGGAGACCCCATAATAATATATTCCTTATTATTGGGACCTTCAAAAGGGTACCCCTAATTTTGGGAAACCCCAAACTCTCCCATGGATATTTGCAGGCTCTCTTGGAGCACCTGGGCTCTTGCTGGGAGAACGCCCTGCTGGCAGATGTTAGGACCAACTGCAGGGAGCGAGTTGCTTTGTGGGAGTGCTCAAATGAGGAACTTTACATGAAGAGTAGAGGGGCTAGAGAGCTACATGCGGCATTTGAGGCTTGTACAAGCTCCCTGCATGGTAGCTCCCCTCCTGCAGTTGCATCAGAAGACATGCTGACGCTTTGTGCTCCCGCTGAAAAAGCAGGACTGGAGGCCTTGCTTCTTCTTGCGACCACAGTGGCCGAATAGACTCCCACCAGATTCGATGGTGTCTGGAAAGGAGCATGGCCAACAACTACAAGGAACGAACACAATAGGTTGTTCGGGGCAACCGTTATCTCTTACCAACTGTCCTGAAAAAGCTCCTAGGTAGAGTAAACTATTGCTCTGCATGCACGCCATGCTGATCCACAGTCTAGCAGGTGCCGCGTTGTCTCATGATCATGCAAAGCAAAAGCCTCACGTGATAACAGGGGTTGCTGTGATCCCCAAGACGATTTCAGGCAGGTTCCTCAATTCAGGAGGGGGAATCGGCGTCCCTGGGATCAATCTCCAAGCCCTCAAGATCAGGCCACCCCAATGCCTGGACTCCCTGAGTCTGCCAATCTAGGTACGTAGGCAGCACTATGTCTATCTAGAATAGTACCTTGGAAGTCTACAGAGGTTGATTGGCTACATTCTTGTTTTCTGACCTCAGGAAAACTGCGCGCTGAATCTGTACATCTCGGCAAGAGAAGGTGCTGTGACCCCACAAAACAGCATGCTGAGATAATTTTTGTTCCTACCTTAAACATCCATGGAAGCCGGGCTGCGTCCCAGGACCAGGTACCTTTGCCTCGACGCCTGCGTTGAACCTGAGCTGCATGGGGATTTCCGAAGGAAGGAGAGCTAGGGGACCCACGGATACATGATCAAGCGTAGGGTCAGAGTTTGGGAATAGGATTCTTGCAACACCCTCGTTTTCAAAAAAAAAGAAGTTCGCTTCCGCATGGGTTGGTGCCCGTTCAAGGCAAGCCCATGAACATACCAAATGCTGCTCTGCGACTGCGGACACTTGGGGTTCAAGGATACCGCAAATCTGATCTGAAGAGAATGATGCGATTCGGGAGCAGTGGCGTTAATGTGTTTGATCATAGGGGACAAGCTGGAGGACAGGTTTGGAACACAATTTGCCTCCGCCTGCTGTGCTGCCGTACTGCGAGGTCGACAGAATTTCAGGGTCCGGAGTTTAGCTGCAAGCCTGTGTGTTTTCACCGCCAACGCCCCTCCTTTGTGAATGCTTGCCTGTAAACTCTGCAGGAAAGAGCCATAGCCTAAGTCTCAAGGCTGTGTACGTTACAGGGCCCCGTTGAATCCCCACACATTTGGGGCAAATACCTGCGCATAGCATCATACAACCCTGCAAGCGCCAAACCATTGTCTGGCCAGCGGCAACGCGCCCTCTTTGAGGAAGCGGGGACGCCGCCCCATCAGAACACGGCCTCGAAGAAGCGGCTTCAACACTCCGGTTCAAGGGTTTAGCACCTACCTAGACAGCTAGAGTCCAAGAGTTAAATGACGTAACACATGAAGAACAAGTTCTTCGACACCTTCAAAGGAAGATCTGAAGACCGTTCTCCCTGCCTGTTCTGGACACTGGGGGTATGGATGTAAGCGGTCCAAGGATCCCCAGTGACCTATGGAAATTCAAAGAAATATTTTTTTGGTACAGCCCGGTTGGATAAGGATCCTAGGACCCCCAAAAAAGAAGCAAACTGGGCCTACTGCAGATCCCTGGTAGAAGTTCTAGATCCAGCGCTTCGCCCGTAAACCCGGAACCCCTAAACCCGTAAACTCCAGACTCCTAAACCCTTACATCCTAAACCCATAAGCCCATAAATCCTAAACCCTTAAGGCTCTGAACCCCTAGACCCTAGATCCATCGTCAAGGCCGGGTTTATGATTCAGGGCTCTTAGGCATTTGGGGAATTATGGGTAGCGTGAGGGCAGTCGCTGCTCCTAGCTACATCACCATTTCACTGCTGTTATATGCAGGGCTCCTAACTCTACTTATCGCTATTGTAGGCGGCTCATAAGACAATTTCCCTAAATAGGGGACCCCAATATGAACCTCCAACACTAGGATCCTTAATTATGGGGACCTCCCTAAGTTTGGGAAACCGTAAAATCCCCATATACCCCCCTTTCAAGGAAACCCTATTTGTTTGGGAAGCCCCCCTATCCCAAGCTATAACTTGGGGGCTCCTCCCTTTAAGTGTTGCAGGATGCGAGGGTTTGAGGCTCTGCTGTTTGGGCTGGGGGTTTAGGATTGGCACTTTAAGGGTTAAGGTTTCGGGATATTGTTCAGCTGGGATGCAGTTTCAACCTGGGAAAACATGCTGCTTGGTGCGGTGCCTAGGGCCTGGGACATGCACATCCTACGACCTGCAATTAAAACCCATTATTGAATTGTGCCCTCAGACCAGGCTATTGTTTGCCCTGCCGACATGAGAGAACCAAACATGAGTTGCACGGCTTTGCGTGTCAAGGATGTTTTCGGGCCTGGATCCCTCCAAGGAAGATGTTGGGAGGTAGCTGAGCTTAGTTGTTCTGTGACAACGACAGAGCCGCCACGAATTTGTGCCAGCACGCGGCAATGGAATGACAGCTCCGTCTTCAAACCTCACGCCCCTGCGTAACCCTGTAATGGTCGAGAGCGTTTTCCAAACTTGTAACGAGGCAACCCCTCTGCAAGTACAGCATGTGGTGTGCAGATACAACCAACAACGAACAAGCACAATGCCTCGGATCACAGCAACACAACGGTTGGAACACATGCCGGCAGGAAACAATTGACTGGCTTGATGATCTCTTCGGTACGCGGCGTTGTGGAATAGGTTCCTGATGGACAGCACGAACTACGGGCTTTGGTATAGAAATTTCGGAGCTGGAAATCAAACCTATGTGGGACCTCTCTCTAAACCAACCACCATTTCAGCCCAAAGTTGCCCCACATCTTCAAGGATCCTCAACTGCACAGATCACACTGGAGCACCTCCAGAGGGCCCCGCGTTGGATGCGTTGCTGCTTATGCATTCCCAGCGGCTAGTCGCAGCTTCCGACTCTAAAGCCTGTCATGTAAAACCCCTTTCAAAACACAGTAGTTCATCGAGTATACTGGGCTATGTATGGGATTTCATGCTACTTAGGTGGGCCATTAAAAAGCACGCGAAAGCCTCATAAGAAACTCCAAAAACACTCTTCCATTGTATTTGAAAGAGTGAACTTTCATCAGGAAGTGGACATGGGGAGGGTGCATAACGGGGAGCAGAAGAGGCAGTATCCTACTTGCTGGGATCTCTGCAGGGGAAGTCCTGAATTAAAAAATGATCGCCGAATCACAAACACGCAGCTTAGGGGTTAAACCCTCGGCCCTCAACCTGCTCAGAGAGGCCAGCGGATTTTCCAAGAGAAAGCCCGACGCCCAGACTATGAGACCTTGTGACCACCCCCCCCCCCTAACCTGGCGACTTCAGATGCAAAAGGGTAGTTGCGAAAAGCTCCTTCACAGCGAAATTCTCATACACCTACACGCAGTCCGCCCTAACACTAACTAACCTGCACACAGTAGATGATTCATCCTAAGCTCTGTGTCCTACCATGTTGACTCCTAGGCCCTTCATCCTAAACACGAAGCCCTTTTCAACGCTAAACCCGGCCCTGAATCCTGATAACCCTAAGCAAATATTTTTGCTTTCAAAAAACTTCCGTAGCTGGATCCCCAAAGCAGGTGGAAGAAGGCCTTCTTGCCTTTGTTTAGAGGGTTTGGGCCAATTCCTACCTCTTTCATAAAACCCTAAACCCTTTAATCCTAAGCCCTAAATGAGAGCTCTCCGCCTGGGCCAGGCACTGCAACGCGATGTTGAGCTGCTGGAGACGCCGCAGCTGCTGCTCCATGCTGGCCTCTTTTAGTCTGCTTGGGTATAGGGTTTGTTTAGGATTCGGGCATGATCTTGTTTTGGTTTAGGGCTTGGGGATTCGGGTGTTGGGCTTTAGGGATTAGGGTTTGCTGGCCTTTTAACCACCCAAAACCCAAGCTGCTTTACAAACACGAAAATGCGCAGCAAACACGTTTAAACTTCGCACTGAGAAGAAATACGTTTTAGGCTTTAGGAATGCGTTCGGGTTTAGCGGTTGAGGGGTTGAGGTTAGGGTTTTCGGGTTCGGGATTGGAAAATATTGTGGTTTGATAGGCTAGGTTTTGGTGCACATGCAGGGTTCAGGTGCTGGCTTTGCTGGGAGGGATTGGAATTGAGAGGTTTGCATCCACCCAGACCGAAAGCCTGTCAACCCCCACGCAGAAACTGTCCCAAGTAAGCCCTCAACATACCCAAGTTGTCACGGACGGCCGGTACGTATACGCCAATCTTACGGAGAGCCTCTCTGCACAACCGGACCTGAATGCCAGACTGAGCTCGCTAAAAAACACTATTTCATGCTTTGTTGTGCCAGTAATGAGAGGCTCAGCTTCGACAAGGTAACCCTAAACCCTGAGCCCTGAACTCCAAAGTAAGCTGTGACCCCTAAACCCTGAACTAGGCCACTATGAAGCCCCTTAACCCCAAAGCCCCATAAATAATCTCGTAATCAAGGCCCCAAACAGCAATCGTGACCATGAACGGTAATGCAGATTCTTTGAGGGTCCCTGCACATTCCTGCTGTGCCATTCTGAGGGGTGGGAGTAGCAGCTTGCCCCGGGCTACTGATGGGAGCTCGACTACTCTACCTTGCTGACGCTAAATTGTACAATGGCAAAGCCAGGCCGCAGAATCATGATAAAACGGCAACTGTCCCATGCCCTTCTTTACCATCCCTTTCTTACAGGAAAACATCAGGCAAGCACGAAGTCCACTCCCATCATGCAGGCAATCAACCCCAACCCCTTGTAGTGGCCCCTTGTGATCACTGGTCATGGTTGGGAGAACCGGGAAAACAGTTAACCCATCATGCTTCAGATTCTTCTGCTCAACAACATTCTCCGCAGTCGATCCTTTGACAATCCTTCTTGGTGCGCAGAGAAAGCTGTAAGGGAGCGACCTTTGGTATCATCATATTGTATGGCAGGGATTACATTGAGTCATTGTATTGATGCACGAACCCACTAAGCCTCAAGCACCTTACCAGCATAATGTGGGTATACAAATGGGGAATTTTCCTCAGCAATAGGGTGGTGAGGGATTATTATGAATCCCTAAAACCAAACCCTCAGCCATCCTAAACCCCCTAAACCCTAAGCCCAAGCCCCCAACCACGAAGCCTAGCGAACAAACCCTAAATCCTGAAACCAATTATGGTAGTTTCCATGTTCTTTTCCATCATCCTCTTTACCCCTATATAAACCCTATATAACCCTACTAAACCCTAAGCTGTAAACAAATAATAATCGACTAGACGCAGAGCTGCTTCATCCGGCTGTTCCCATCCAGCCGGCGTGAAGACTTCTTCCCCTTGCTGGGGGATGCGGGGCCTGCGGTGAGAGTCGGGCTTTTCGTTTTGGAGGGCGTAAGATAGCTCACGCTTCAGATTGGCAACTTTTCTGAAGGTTAAAGCTTTTGGGACGAGAGCTTTGGCTTTTGGCTACGGGATGACGTGCTAGGGCTACAGAGTGCTGGGGGTCAAAGATTTCACGAGCAGTCACGTTGACACCCCATGCATATCATAAGCCCGATCCTTCTGAGATCTCTCTCTCTCTCTGCGATGGGCTTCGCCCACAACCTCATTTGCAAGGCACGGAAACACATCGTAAACGATGGTTCAAACTGGAGTCAGGCTGCAATCGCACAGAGAGTTGCCCTTAACTCCCTGCAGTGAAGCTAGCTGCTACTGCGTGCGCCGCGGCTTCAGCCTGGCGCAACACGTCACCAGCTTCCTACTGGTTCATGAAATAGAAGCAGCTGAAACTGCATACTACCAACATACTTTACTTTCCTTAGAGCAGGAACTGCTTTCTATTGCTGAATGCAGGAACCAATGCTTCTAGATTCAAGCAAAGTCTCACCGGTTCGAAGCACGATCAATAGGGTAGATTCAATGTTCAGAACACTCAAGCAAGCCGTTGATTCCAAAGAGCTGTGGAAACAGGAGCTGGACCCTTCAAACCTGGTTCCGTGCTGGGGAAAGATTATCGGAAATCTCAGCTTTGCATTCCTCATTGGGTTCTCTACTGAAGAGACCTTAACGGTTCTGCTTTCCAACGACAGAAAACCTTACAAAGCGCAGCGCTGATGTTTATGCCGTAAAGAATGAGCTGGGATGAGGGAGCACCTCGCGTTACTCTGACACCTTTCCATCCTCAGGAGTCGCTTATGGTCTTGTGAGTCTTTGGGGTCTCATCTGCTCGCGAGCCGTATGAAGCCCAATAAGCAAAAATCCCTTGCAGGTCTGAGAACCATCATTGTGAAGCCTGCCCTGGTCGCTTCAACGGTTCAAGTGCCATCCCGAACCCTTTCCACGCCTGATAATAATTATTGATACCCATAAATTGCCGCTAACATATTAGAGTACCACATATGGGGATGTATTTATCTAGGGGGAGGGGTTTAAGCTTAGACCCTGAAGCCTAAACCCTCAACACGAAAGGGGGTGGGGGTGTTTATCCTTAAGGGGACGGTCTAAGCCTAAACCCTGCACCCTACAGGGAGGAGGGGAGTGCTCATCATGGAGGGGAGGGATTCAACCAGACAGTTTGCGGCCTGTGCTCTGACTTGCCGGATTCTCAGTCGACATTGTTTGCCTACCCTAGCTAAATCTTTCTGACGGCCGCGGGGTTTAGGGCTTCTGGATGTCCACTGATACATGGTAGCTTCTGGCAGATATGAGCTTGATGGGACCGTTTGGTTCGGACTTTTGATAGTTGTGGGGATTTGGGGCTATAGTGTTTTAGCATTGTGCAGCTCAGCTCCAACATTTGGAACGCTTGCTTCGAATACAGAATGTACTCCGGGCCGAAAGGCGGCATGCATGCAAGACGCTTGGAAGTCTAGATGCTTGACCATAAACGCTCCAGCAAAACAATTCAATTAGGGTCCAGCCCAGAGCTGAAACTGGAAAGTTCCAGCACAGAAACCCCATGTCCGTGGTAAGAAGTACGCGGCTTGTAGTTGTCAGACATGAAGATCTTTGGCGTAGACGAATCTGGTGCACACGCGAAAAGGGTGGTGAACTTGGTTTGCTCATAGTATTTCATTCGGTGGACCTGTTTGTGTGTAGTGTGGCTGTGTGCTGATCGTGCCTTAGCTTGGATTCTGGAGGAAAGTGGCTTCTTGAAGCCCGTTGCAAAGGAAGACGTGAGACCTGTGCAAGCAACCACAGCAAAATCTTAGACCCTCAGCCCTCAGCTCAACCCTGAAGCCCTGAGATCACAGGTACCATTGCTTGGATCCCGCCCTCGCCCTGAAACAAGAACATACTACACACTTCTCGAACAATACAAAATGGCCACCAGTGCAAGATTTGGAGACTGACGCTGGCATCCAAGCTGCTTCCAATGTCTGTCCATTCACTATTGGGGCGCTCTACTACGACTCAGTAAAAACCTAGGACTATCATATATCAAGGGTGGGTCTACCGAATAGACACTGGGTGGTAATGTGCTAATTTCCAAACAAGAGGCCCTTTATCCAACCTCTAAAATAGTATTTGGGAATCCAGTCTGCCGTAAACCACTACATGATCTCCAAATGTCATCTTCCAATTGATTCTGCACTATTGGAGTACAAAGCCCTATACATCCCTCTAGGCAGTATGCAGTAATCTCTTTGAAGTCTGAGCCCACAAGGGGCCCTTGGCGATCAAAGAGGTCTATGGCTAAGCATATAAGACGTTATACGGGCACTCTACGCGTCATTCTAGGGATTCTGTAAGGACTGTTTTCAGAGACTGCCACATTGCAAAGGGTCCCAGAAAATTCTTAAAACGAAGGATCTGAAAGTAAGGCCCGCGTCAGAATTCGAGACGCGGCAATGGAAGAAGCCACTCGCAACCTTTGAGCCTGAAAAACACCCTTGTCTATGGCTGTCCCCAGTAGCTGCAGGGCGCCTGTGGTTTGGCGGCGCCTTGGGTGCTACGAGTAGGGGTCTAATTTTGAGTCATTGTCTTGCTGCGCTGAAGCCCGGATTGGAAGTGTAGGACAACATGCGACTGTACAATATTATTGTACACAACGAAAACATGCAACACACGATTTGGTACCGCCATTCCTTAAGACAAACATCCTGCGACTTCCGAACCCAGCACGTGGCTACAGCAACACTTCAGATGGCTTCTTGCCCTAATGGCGATCAGTTGTCGAATTGAATTCGGCAATTCTACCCCAGATTTGGGGGACCTTGATGCCTTGTGAATCCTTGCTATACAGGGTGAAATGGATAGCTGCTCGAAGTTTGGTTTTTGATTGTGGCTTGGATCCTGTGCTCGGCAAGCAGGAAAGACCGAAACGATTCAAAACGCATGTGGGCGTGACCAAGAATTAAGGATTCAAAGGGTTTGTTGGCAGTATCCGAGGGAAACTATAAGTATCTCTTTTGAAATTAAACAGGTGTCCAGGCCCAAGGTTCACCGTGACGATGCAGTGATTGCATGAAGTCTTCAACTGCTCAAGGTGTCCAATCCGGTTTTATAGCATCCTTGACGGTATGTTCTGGATACCTGAGAAGTCAACTGCATGTAATAAGCTCTTTGGAACAATGTCTCTATTTAAGCTCCATTTGGGGTGTGGTCAGGTGAGGTGATAGTTTGCCCCCAGTATATTGCGGAGATCCACGCACGAAAGACATGCTAAACTGACTCCAGTTGACTCATGGGTATATTCTCTGTGGGATTTTGCCGGGGTCACCTAAGACTCTGAGGCACGAATCCGGCCAAATCGTTTCCCGCGGTCTTCTGAAGCAAGCATTCATCCAACACCGCCATGCTTTAAACTCACGGTGCTTCCTGCGTGCAGACTTTGTCAAACGGTGCGGAGACCGTCCCCAAGCACCTGCACACTGGCACGTAAAGACCTGAAGTAAATGAGCCCGCTCTTCCTCAGGGAGGAGCTAAGCAAAAACATCCGCAGAATTTGGTGGCTGTACTGTGCCACACAAGAACTTCTAAAACATCGGGTTACGAGCCTTCACGGGGAGTTTAATCACGGTCAATCCTCAAGCTGTCAACCTACTACTAAGCACTCGCTACGCTGCTTTGGCTCCATGGGCATGCGCACCTTGTCGGCGGCACCCCATCCCCAGAACTGTACGCCAGGGATTCGTCCCGCTGGTAAGACAGTGTTTCATCGGTGTCGACCGGCCCAAGTCCAGGCAGCTCGTTGGAGCCCGCTTCACTCATGGCTGGCTCTGCTGGGTAGGTATGACCCCACTTACAATCCAGCAGAATCTGCAGCTTGCAGTCGACCGCCTCATGCGGCCACATCTGCAAAGCACGTTGCACAAGCCAGCGCCGTTGGAAGGCACTGAGCTCAAGCATCTTCATGGATTCTGGTAGAACCTTCAACGCTGTGCTGATCACATCTTGTCTCTGGCAGCACCAAATCGAGTGCACCACTGCCTTGGCTACGATCGGATCAAGTGAGGTGCCACCTTCTACCTGAGCAAGCCTATCGGCCACAGCCTCTTCACGCAGAGAAGCAGGCTGCCCACGTCACAGCCTGGGTCGTGTACGTCCGCACCCGGCAACGGCAGAGGTGTTTTGAAGAAAATGACGATCTTGCTCAATGTCCCACCAACACCTGCCGGCGCATTGCACAGCCCGATCGCGACATCTCTCGCTGATGGGCCAATCTTGCCCAAGACCTTTGAAGCAGCGGCTCGCACCCTTGCATCCTCATCCTTAAGAGCTATGACCAGCTGATTTACAGCATCAGCTGGTGCAGAGCCCATCTTGCCTAGGGCCTCTGAAGCAGAGTCTTGCACCCTAGCATCTTCATCCTTAAGCGCAATGATGAGCTGCGGCACAGCATCAGCTGCCGCAGGACCAATGTAGCCCAAGGCCTCTGAAGCAGCTGCTCGCAGCACTGCATCTTCATCCTTGAGCGCCATAAGCAGCTGCGGCACAGTATCAGCTGGTGGAGGACCAATCTCGCCCAAGGCCTCCGAAGCAGCAGCTCGCACCCCTGCATCTTCATCCTTGAGCACCATGATGAGCTGCGGCACAGCATCAGCTGCTGCTGGACCAATCTTGCCCAAAGCCTCTGAAGCAGCAGCTCGCACCCATGCATCTTCATCCTTGAGCGCCATAAGCAGCTGCGGCACGGCATCAACTGCTGCAGCACCAATCTTGCCCAAATCCTCTGAAGCAGCGGCTCGCGCCCCTGCATCTTCATTCCTGAGCGCTATGATCAGCTGCGGCACAGCATCAGCTGCTGCAGGACCAATCCTGCCCAAAGCCTCTGAAGCCGCTGGAGTCGACATATCCGTTTGGCGGGGCCATGATCGATCCCGTGAAGCTTGTCTAGACATGAGAAACGCCCAAGCAGAATTCGCTTGGATTGCAGCTGGAGGAGCCTTTCATGTTGCTCTGTTATGTGTCATCATTATGCCGCCACAGCCTTGATCTTCTAACTGTCTCCTCCACAGTGCGAATCAAACTTGTCCTCACATAACCAGGATTTGACGCAAGGCCCCTAGCTCTTGGCGAACAACCATACATCAGGGACCTTACATAGGTGGTGCAAGATTTCCTTCTTTGATCTGTGCTTCGCAGCATTAGGTTCCGTAGTGGTCCGATGACGAATCAGTGGCGCCTCTAAAGCCCAGTGTCTATTTTCTAGCCTTCCGTTAGTCTGGAGAGCCTCCGGTTACCCTCAATACCTGACGCTATGCCCACGAAATCAAAAACCCAACAAGAAATCTCTAACATACTGGGATCTACTATTTGTCTCGGACTGTACCCAAAGCAGATGCTCAACGCCATAAATTCTGAGGCAATTGCATCCAGTGGCGAGGGGCTGCCATGGAAAGTAGCTGCCCTTAGGAGCTCTCTTAACTGAAGGGTGGGTTAAAGTCCAGGACTCATTGTTTGGAGGTTGTGGGATGAAGGGTCACAGGCTTGACTTCATTGGAAGCATATATAGATATGTATACACATACATACATACATACATACATACATACATACATATATATATGTAAATCACTTGTGGGTTCTGAGCACCAAGGGAGCGGATTCTGAAACAAAAGCCACGGATTCGGAAACAAAAGCCTTGATGCGTAATCTGGAGACGCAGATTCGGAAACTGGCTCACAAGAAATCGAGAAACCTAACGTGCAGATTAGGAAGCGGAACGCCTCAACGTGCAGATTCGGAAGCTATATAATAAAAGCTTGGATTCGGAAACTGCACGCGCGGACTCGGAAACTAAGATTCTGAAACTTGGAAACCGAGCTACCCCTTAATTGGCTGACATGGGAGCCTCTGAAAATGGGGGTACCCTTCGGAACCCCCGAAGACGTACGGGGAGTACCGTCCATTTTTGCCAAGTATCTCCAAGGCCATGGCTGTACATGACATCGCGTGATGACAGGGGCTGGTTTCAAGAAAATGTGCCCATGGCCAGACGTCTTCAAGTCACGGCACAAAGGGGTGGGTTTAGCCTGATGTTTGCAGAGCCACGTCATGGCATGAAAAAAAGGGGGGCTTTGAACAACATGTTAAATGTCCCCACGGCCGGGCCTCTGCAGCTCATGGCGCGATGATGACGAAAGGATGGGTTCAACGAAATGTCTGCAGGGTGAGGCCTCTCATCGCATGGCATGATGAAAGGGTTTTGGTCCTATTTCTCCAGGACCATGCCTGTGCATCTCATGGCATGCTGGCACGAACTTGTTTTAACAAAAGTTACGCATGGCCAGGCATCTTTGTGTCCTGCGAGGGTGATGTAACCAGGCGAATGCTTTCCCAGACGTCGTTTCTGAACCGGTGCGGTCTATGAATCGCATTAGTTTCCTGAATCGGCGCAGGTAGGTGCTGAATCGCCAATAGTTTCTCAATCAGTTGTTGATGGGGCAATCTCTATCTAGCCCGGACATCCTATACCCCAGAACCATATTCCACGTTTCTTGCTAGTTGGCAGTGCAAGGAATGGAGGAATGGATTCCTATAGCCCCTATAGGATCCCGAATGATATGGTCGTTTCTTTTTCCGTTCCTTCGCCAGCACATAGCCTTCTAGGAGCCGGCCCCTTCTTGAAGTTGTTTGTCCTTGCACGCATACAAACCCTAAACCACGAAATACCCCCATGAGGCACAACATGTATGTGCTTTAGGGCCCACTGCAGAATATGAGTCGTAGTCATAGTGCCATAGACTGAGGGAAGCAAGAACAACCCTCCTACCTGGTATCGTAAGTTTTTGGAAGTCCTGGTCCGAGCCTGTCTCCTCTGCAACACAGCCCGTGATGCTCACAAGAAAGCACCCATTTGTTCCCGCGTATCCCCGTAAAGCCTGCTTCCCCCAAAAATGCCACGACCCTATCGGCCCCGTAAACCCCAGATCCAAAAAAACACAATTTGATTGCCTCATTTTTCCTGCGCATTCTCTTCTTGTAGCTGCACTGTAGCCACGGGCGGAGTCTCCGCGTGAACTACAGTTGCTGAGGCCGCAGCCGGTCGCTCCCCCGGCCTTTGACTTAGAGGTTGTTAGTAGGGAATGAAAGAATGAAGGAAAAAGGACAGTTGTACATAACTGGGGATCAAAAACAGGAGCTGCTACAAGGATCCATGCTTGTTTTCCACAAGAACAACGAGCAAGTATGAGGATTCGATAGGAAACTTGTTCAGCCACATAGCTTTTCATGTCATATGGGACCTTTTCCTCCAGTCATGCAGTCGAATATTCGGGCTTAGGGTGAAGGACTTGTTATCAATTAACGAGAAGCTTGGGGGCTAGGACGGCTAGGAATTTCGATTTTCAGTGTTAGACCGAGTGAACCGGTTTGCCCCTTGATGGACAGAGGTTCAATTCAAAGCGTAGGGCCTATCATAAACGAGTCCGTTCTGTTGTTCCCGGACTAGCCGAGGGAGACCCCACATTTCCGTTCCAGGTCAGGGGGACTGGGACCAAAAGCAATGGATGAAAGGCTTAGGGGCGTAGGTCCCAAAGCATAGCATGATCCCCACAATACAAACCCCTAAAAAGGGTTAGACCCTCGCTTTTACTGCATCTCAAGTGGCAAATTGACTGGCATGCTGCTCCCCATAAGCCCCAGGGCAAAAGTTAAGGCCAGGTAGGTATATCTCAAGTATTTGTACGAGTCTAGACGGCGTTACCTGGTCTTAGTCCTGCGTTGCCTAGACTACTGGTCTCTGGGAGTATGCGGATGATTGCAAAGCGGTCATACTGTGTTGCAGGATGGTGGTAAGTAAGGCTTGTAGCAAGTTGTATCCATATGTACGACTTTGCCACACCTATTGCTGTCCAAGAATTGGACAAGCCAATGCAGGGACCCACGCTAAAGTACTTAAGTATAGGGCCTGTGCTGTACGAACTAGTCTAGCCCATCCTGCACCGGCAAGTCTGCCAAAACCCTCAACCCACACCCTTGCTAATATTACAGACCCTCAGTACTAGTTCCAAATGGCCACAAATCCGAAAGTCTCAAACAGCAAAAGCGTCTCTTGAACCGCTCTCCTCCATGTATGCTTTGGGGTAGGGTTGCAGTAAGCCCCAGAAACGCAAAATGTAGAATTCTGTCTTTAGCCCTTATCAAATTCCTAACTGGGCAGCCCAGCCATTCAGGGAACGATCTTCCTGGGAACAGCAGCCAATGATTGCAGTGGTGCATAAGATAGATCTACGGGAGCTTTCAGAAGAAAAGCTATGGATATAACCGGGTGTAGGGTACTGACAGCCCACTCATATCTACCCGTGACCCACCTTGTGCTTTTGGGTTCTGCGCTTGAGTCTGGGGTCAAAAGGTAAGAGCTTTGTAAATATTTACAGGGATTTCGCACATACTTTCAAACCAATCGTTATGCGACACCATATCGGAAACAGGTCAGGATTGTGTAAGGTCATGAACGCCTCCTCACCCTACAGGCTCTCATACTCAGGTCATGCATATAGGCTACCTTACACTCTGAACTTCTGAAACATGGATACTCCTAATAATCAATATGCCCTGAATATACACTGCCCATCTTGGTACCGCCAAACACGGATCTTAAACCCTGAAGTCCATTCAACAACAAGTAGTGCGCTTGAACTTTTGAGGCCATGAAAGCAATTTCGTACCAAGTTTGGGTATGAGGTGGGATTCGGTTGTAGGAGAAGCGGTCAAGGCATGGCAAGTCCTCGGGAAGCTTATCTAATATTTCTTGGTGCTTCTCAATGATGTCACAAGCGTACACGCCAACCCCTATGGACCTTTCTTACGCAGGCGGACCTTTACTTCAAAACTAATATAGTCATATATGGTCCTTAAGATGCATGATGGTTAGCCTGTGTTTGGTAACCTAAGTCCCGCAATCAGGACCATACAGCAGCCGCGTGCCTTTCACATGACCCCTGTTGGGGGTCGGTGGAGCACTCAATCCTGCCCTTAGCCCCGTAGCCCGTCGCTGTAAACTTCAACACCCCAACTGCGAAGGCCTTCTACTAGAGCTCCAGAGCTTAAGCTATAGGGTCAGAATCCTGTAAATTCGTACCCGTCCAGGTTCCTGCAACCAATACGATTCTACCTTTCAGACTTTCCCCGCGTTTTTGCACACAAAAGACCATGGCGCGAAGGAAACATGTTGCGAGGCAAACGGATGAACAGCAACGAGTTCAATGGGAGGTGTTCTAGAGGTCCTGGCATGGGAGGGGCCATTGGGAATACACCTCCTTTAAATGGGGATACTAACCAAAATAGGGAACCTACATTATGACCAATTTGGGGACAGATATTTTGAACAACTACCTAGTAAGACTTCAAGCGAGTGTTCCAGAGAAGTCCGCCCACACCGAAACTGGGCAGGCTTGATCACCGAGCTGAGAACCAGCCCTGCCCACCAAGCCACAACCGTTTCCCCTGGAATCCCATGAGAATCCTTGTTTCTGACTGAGTGTGGGTAGTTTCTGGAAAGCTATCTTTTAGGGGGTTGGAGCTTTTACTATGTGGGGGGCATTTGATTTCAGAGCCGTATGACCGAGGCATTTGTCTTACAAATACAAGGTTTCCATGCTGGCCTGTGTCAGGGTAGGAAGCGAACCACATATTTTCAATCTTGCACTAAAGAAGAAGCAGCCTGAAGCTCAAAAATCCACACATGGGTTGCGTTCTGCCAACACCTTGTATCCCAAATCATGCCCGAAGGTCTGGATGAACTTACGTAGCAGCTGTCCGTAACACCTAAGTATACCCATGAAGGTGACCATACTCGGGGCTCCTATGTACAAATGAGTACTGTAACATGTGCAGATTGAAGAGGTGTTAACAATCCTGGTACATCCAAGTAGGCACCTACAAAACCAGTCGCACAAGCGTGGGAGCAATGCCCGTGACTGAGGCCCTCACCATTTCTGTAGTCATCTGCATTCGATCTACTCAAGAAATCTAAGGAAAGCTTCAGTAGGGCTGAAGTCTTAGGGCTTTGGGGCTCTTGAGATCAAGGGCTTCAAAAAGGCTTAGGTCCAAGGATTTAAGTTCAAGCTATGTTTAGCTGAGAGCTTTCAATGGTGGCGGAGTGTCCCCTATGTAGGGTTTGATGGCAAGACTGTGTCAATACTACCCTGCCGTCACCACGTTAACCAAGCATGGGCACACATGGTTGACCATGCGTCAATAGACAGATCTACCGGCCACCGAACTCCTTCTAAGTTCGTGTCAGCAACAGGCTAGACTCCTAGTTCCCCCCAACTAATTAAACCCCTATGAGACTCCCCTCTCTAATCCCCTCTAGAACCCTCTTTAAGGAGTTTAGACTACAACTTCATATACTGTAAGCTCCACTCAGGAATGACTACACATGACGAGATAATCCCGTACCCCCCAATATTAAAACCCCCTATCATCAAATAATGACCTATTAAATGATGACCTCAATATAATGTAATCCTTATTCTATGGACCCTGCTAAAAGGTATCCCTAATTTTGGGAACCCCCCCGCCCCATTTTAAAAAAAGGTTGTTTGGTAGGCAACTCTTCGAGCCAATGCCACCCGAAAATCAACTTTCCTGTCATCACTAACCGGTACTAAGCAACCTGACTGACACGGTTTAGGATTTAGAGTCTAGAGCCAAGGGTTTAAGGTACTAACCATCCTGACCCCCTCGCACTGATGGCGATGACCATTACGCTGCAGTGGACCAATTTACTTTGCAGAGTCGAGCTGAAATGCTGCGGCATGTTGCGGCAGGTAGGCCCCAGGCCTTGAGTCAAACCCTAGACTTCTAAGAACAAATGCGCTGCAACAAAGCCGTCACGCTGTGCCTATTACAAAATGGCAAGGGGACGCATGCGCTTGAGAAGTAACACCCTTCGCATGCCCACGCTCCAGACCGACCAGTTCGAGGCACAACTTGCACCCCTGTACAAGATTACGTCATTGTGAGTATCCAACGAACACCCGGATGGACGCCCATACGCTTTCTAAATGATTGGGCCAAGATTGAGATGAAGTTGCAACACTCCCTTTTTGGAGGATTTGGTTCAAGAGGTTGCTGCTGGCGTGTACATGTACGCATGGGTCATGGGTGCTAAGCCTGGACCTTGGCGACTAAACCGAGTTCTGAAACCTGAACCACACATCCATAGATAGAAAATGATAGAAACGTAGCATGGGGTTGCAGAACTTAAGGCTTCTATAGTTTTCCAGATCCCCAAGGGATCATTGATTTTACAACCTACCATGCCCTATGCATCCAAATAACCTCAAGTCATTCATTTGCAGACTTTGAAGTCGAAGTAGGTATTGCTTGTAGATTTGGATCCCAACGCGGGACCAGAAAGCCTCAACCCCGAAGCGTTTTGCTCAAGGACTCAGATGCCGAGGAACATGCAGCCTCTGTGGACTTTAAAACAATTAGTTCTTCAATGGAAAATCAGGCTCTGTGGTACTTGCCCACAAGCCAGCTTGCAGTCAGGGCTTAGGGTGTAGGGTCATGCTTGGATTCCTGAATTCTGGTTTTCAGAGGTTCTACATCTTCGAAGAAGATTGTCGTAACCCCAGCAGCCCCAACAAGTTATGTTCCCTTTCATTATCCATTATTGGAGTACACACCCCTACACATCCCTCTACGAAGTATGCAACAATATATTTGAACTAAAAACCTTAAACCCTATACGCAACGTGGGACCTTAACAAAGACAGCAACTCAGGACCACCCAATGCTATAATCATTATTATGGGGACCCCCGAAATGGTACCCCTAACCCCAAATGAGGCTTTCTCAACTTAAGGGGCCCTTGGAGATCGAAGGGGTCTATGGCTAGCCTGATATTAATATGGAGTCTTCAAGGGCACTATGCATGTCCTTATTAGTTACGGAGTCTGTGTGGACTGTTTCAAGAAACTGCAGATGGCAAAAGATCCTATAATGATAAGGGTTTTCAAAGTAAGGTCTCCTTCGGAGGTCCAGACACGGCTATAGAAAAAGCCACTCGCAACTTTTTAGCCTGAAAAACACCTTTGTCTATGGCTGTCCGCAGTCACTGAAGGGCGCCTGTGGTTCAGCGGCGCCTTAGGTACTAAGCGTAGAGTTCCATTTCTGAGTCCTTTTCTTGGCGCGTTGAAGCCTAGTTTGGAAGTGCAAGGCAACGTGTGACTGTGTAATAAAAATGCGCAAACGAAACATGCACTATACTATCTGATACCACCTTGCGTCAAGACACACATCCTAGACATAGCAGACATACATCCTGTGACTTCCGGAGCCAAGACGTGGCTACAGCAACACTTGAGACGACTTCTTGCCCAAAATTGCCATCAAGTGTCGAATGGAATTCAACAATTCTACCCTGAATTTGAGCGGCCTTGTGAATCCTTGCTATACGGGTTGATATGAATAGCTGCTCAAGTTTTCGTGATTCATCGTGCTTGGATCGTCTGCTCCGCAAGCGGGAAAGCGCTGGAACGCATGCCATGTGGGTGTGACGAAGAATTAGGATCCCTGATGAGAGGGCACGTTAAGAAAGAGTGTTGATAGTAGTTTGGCGGTATCCGGGGGAGCCCATAACCATTTCTTTTGGAATTCACATGTAAGCACAGATGTCCAGGCCTCAGGCTCACCGTGACCATGTGCCGCGTTTTGTAATACAATGCAAAGACTGCAAGAAATCTTTAACCGCTCAAGGTGTCCAACCGCTTTCATAGCATCCTTGACGGTAGGTTCTAGCTACCTACCTGAGAAATCAAATGCATGTGATAAGGTATTTTGAACACTCTCTCTATTTAAGCTCGATTTGGGGTGCAGTCAGGTTAGGTCAGTATATTGCGGAATCCACACTTGAGAGACGCGCTAAACTGGCTCCTATTGACTCATGGGAATGTTCTCTGTGGGATTCTGCCGGGCCAGGGTCATCTAAGACTGAAGGGCACGACTCTGGCCAACTCACTTCCCGCGGTCTTCTGAAACAAGCATTCATCCAACACCGCCACTTCTTTAAACTCACAATGCAAGGCCACAGGCCTTCCAGTGTGCCTGTATGCAGGCAGACTTTGCCAAACGGTGCGCAGACCGTCCCCAAGCACTTGCACACTGGCACGTAAAGACCTGAAGTAAATGAACCCGCTCTTCCTCAGGAAGGAGCTACTAAGCAAAACCATCCGCTGAATTTGGTGGCTGTACAACAAGAGTCTGAGGATCTGTGCCCATGACGAGACACAAACTCTCAAATAAGTCATAAATGGGCAAATCTAGCATCGGCTTTCAAGCTGTCAAACTAGCACTAGGCACTTGCTACGCTGCTTTGGCTCCATGGACAAGCGCACATTGCCGCTGGCAACCCGTCCCCAGAACTGCGCGCAAGGGATTCGTCCGGCTGGTAAGACAGCGACTCATCGGTGTCGACGGGCCCAAGTCCAGGCGGCTCCTTGGAGCCCGCTTCACTAGTGGCTTGTTCTGCTGGCTTCAGGGAATCGTCGCCCCACTTCGGTTCCAGTAGTAGCTCGTGCAGCTTCCGCTCCACCGCCTCACTCGGCCACATCTGCAGGGCACGTTGCACCAGCCAGCGCTGTTGGAAGGTACTGAGCTCCAGCATCTTCATGGTTTCCGGTAGAAACTTCAATGCAGACTTGATCACCTCCCCCCTCCGGCAGCACCAAATTGAGTGAACCACTGCATTGGCTACGATCCGATCGAACACGGCGCCACCTTGCGAGCACATGGACAAAACATACTGCAGAAGGAGGCCGTGGGCTTTGTCACGCGGATCCACCTGCGCAAGCCTAGCGATCACATCCTCTCCAGGCAGAGAAGCAGCATGGTTGCTCACAGCACAGCCTTGGTCACACACCTCTGTACGCAGCAACGGGCCACCCCCGCCAGTGCTCGCGGGCGACTTGCCCGGCTGCTTCACCACATCCCTTGCTGCTGGACCGACTCGGCCCAAGCTTTCCAAAGCACTGGATCGCACTTTAGCATCCTCATCCTGAAGCGCTATGACCAGCTGCTGCAGGACATCAGCGGCTGCAGAACCTGCTCTGCCAAGAGTGTCTGCAGCAACGGCTCGCACGCGCGCATCTTTATCTGTGAGCGCCATGATCAGTTGCGGAACAGCATCAGCTGCTGCGGGGCCAATCTTGCCCAAGGCTTCTGAAGCAGCGGCTCGCACCCTTGCATCTTCATCCTTGAGTGCTGTGATCAGCTGCGGCACAGCATCAGCTCTTGCAGGACCAATCTTGATCAAGGCCTTTGAAGCCGCGGCTGGCACCTGCATATCTTCATCCTTGAGCGCCATGACCAGCTGTGGCACAGCATCAGCTGCTGCTGGACCCATCGTGCCCAAGGTCCCTGAAGCAGCAGCTCGCACCCCTGCATCTTCATCCTTGAGCGCTGTGATCAGCTGCGGCACAGCATCAGGACCCATCTTGCGCAAGGCCTTTGAAGCAGCAGCTCGCACGCTTGCATCTTCATCCTTGAGTGCTGTGATCAGCTGCGGCACAGCATCAGCTGCTGCTGGACCAATCTTGCCCAAGGCCTCTGAAGCAGCAGCTCGCACCTGCGCATGTTCTTCCTTGAGCGCTGTGATCAGCTGCCGCACAGCATCAGCTGCTGCTGGACCAACCGTGCCCAAGGCCTCTGAAGCAGCTGCTCGCACCCCTGCATCTTCGTCCTCGAGCGCTGTGATCAGCTGCGGTGCAGCATCAGCTGCTGCTGGACCAATCGTGCCCAAGGCCTCTGAAGCAGCTGCACGCACCCCTGCATCTTCATCCTTGAGTGCTGTGATCAGCTGCGGCACAGCATGAGCTGCCGGACCAATCGTTCCCAAGGTCCCTGAAGCAGCAGCTCTCACCGTTGCATCTTTATCCTTGAGCGCTATGTCCAGCCGCTGCAAGGCATCAGGACCCATATTGATCACGGCTTTAGAAGCAGTGACTCGCACTGATGCTTCTTCATCCTTGAATGCTATGACGATCAGCTGCGGCACAGCATCAGCTGCTGCTGGACCAATCTTGCCCAAGGCTCCGGAAGCATCGGCTCGCACCTGCCAATGTTCATCCTTGAGCGCTAGGATCAGGTGCGGCACAGCATCTGCTGCTGCAGGGCCAATCTTGCCCAAGGCCTCTGAAGCAGCGGCTCGCACTCCCTCGTCTTCAGCCTTGAGCGCTGTGATCAGCTGCGGCACAGCATCAGCTGCTGCTGGGCCAATCTTCTGCCAGGCGTCTGTAGCAGCGGCTCGCACCTGCCAATGTTCATCCTTGAACGCTAGGATCAGGTTCGGCACAGCGTGCCCAAGGCCTTTGAAACAGCGGCTCGCACTCCCTCGTCTTCAGCCTTGAGCGCTCCGATCAGCTGCAGCACCGCATCAGCTGCTGCATGGCCAACCTGGGACATGGGTTGCGCCGCAAAGCCGGGCACCACTACTGCTACTACTGCAGCTGCTTTTGCTGTCGTCGCTACTGCTGGTACTGCTGCTGCTGTTGCTGATTTAACCGGGACATGACGCAGCACGGGCTTGAAGCTCAGAGATGCACTCCCGCCCTCATCCACATCCAAGATTTTGTGCCCTGCTACTGGTCTCGCTACTCTTCCGGTATGCTTACCAAGCTGCTGAGAGCAACGCATATCTCAACTTAACATGGATCCACCAGCCGCAAAAGCCATATACAACCTGCCATCAAGACTTAGAGCGCGCTGCGCGCTCGATTCAATAATGGAACTTGGGTTGAAGTCTGCCTGTGTAGGGGGCGGGACAAATCTTGAGAAATGTCCAACCATTGCACGGATTGCAGGAAGCTTTTATGCAAACACAAGGGCTTGCTCTGCGGCGTCATTGTGCAGCCACAGCCTTCGTTTGAAAAGCCCTCCGCACACCGTCCACTCATACGTTGTCCTTGACTTACGCCCCTTAATTTCTGGCAACCAACCACACATCACGGAACAAAGGATGGCTTGATAGAAGCTACGGCAAGTTCCGTATTAAAGCAGATTCTAGCCCTCCAGGAGAACAGCTCCCAGAAGGGACACCCTGAATTCAGATGTATCTTGTAAACCTCCAAAACCTGGACTTATGCTTTCCCAAAAACTGAAAACGCGACAACTAGTCTTTGACGTACGAAGATTTTCATGTTGCCGCGTACTGATCACAAAGCAGAGGCTCAAAATTAGGAGTTCTGAGGCAAGTGCATGTCGTGGCGAGGGCCTGTCATGGAAAGTAGCTGCCCCTAGGAGGTTTCTCTGTGGTCTAGAGGCGTAGGGTACCCTTAGACATGCACAGAGTTAGCATGGCAAAAAGATTCTAGGGACCCTCTTATAAGGGCGGTCTGGAAGAACTGTGCCAAACTCACTGATGGAATTTTATCGTCACTTCCAAATAATATCTTGTCATGGTGGTAGAGGGAGACGTATCAAGGCTAAGAAAGACTTGTGCAGGGATTGGGAAGATTGTTGAACGTAAGGGAAGTAGAGTATTTTGGGTTGAGGTTGAAGCCAAGGACTCATTGTCTGGAGTTTTTGGGATGTGGAGTCGCAGGCTTGGCCTTTGTTGACGCATATAGTAATTGCTTTTGGATTTTTGAGCGCCAGCGCCGGATTCGGAAACAAGGAGAGCGGATTCTGAAACAAACAGCACGCATGCGGAAACTAAAATCGCGGATTCGGAAACACTTCAAAACCTGTTCGCATACTGGACATGCGGATTCGGATTCCGACAGGAGAAGCGCGGATTCGGAAACTGCACGAGCTGATTCCGAAGTTAGGATTCCAAAGCTTGGAAACCAAGTTACCCTTTGATTGGCTGACAATGCAGCTTCTCAAAATGGGTGTGCCCTTCGGAAGCCCCGGGGACGTACAGGGAGTACTGTCCATGTTGTGTCATGATGAGACGGCGGATTTTTGCCAACAATCTCCAAGGCCATGGCTGTACATGACATTGCGTGATGACAGGGGTTGGTTTCAAGAAAATGCGGCCATGCCCAGAACCTCATCATGCCATGGCAGAATCAGAGGGGTGGGTTTAGCCTAACATCTCCAGAGCCACTCCATGGCGTGATGAAAGGGGTGGCTTTGAAGAACATGTTGAATTAGCAGGGCGGGTTTCAACAAAATGTCCCCACGACCTGGCCTCTGAATCTCACAGAGACTGGCACGATGACAAGAGGGTGGGTTCAAAGAATGTGTCCAGGGTGGGGCCTCTTCATCTCATGGCATGGTGAGAGGGTTTCGGCAACATTTCCCCAGGACCATGCCTCTGCATCCCATGGCGCTATGAGAGGGGTGGGTTCTATAGAAACATATGGAGAAGGCGGGCTGGCCTCTTCGTCCGCTGCGAGGTGGTTCAGCAACCAGGCGAGTATACTTTCCAAGCCGTAGCTTCTGCATCGGTGCGGTCTCGGAATCGCATTCGTTTCGTGAATCGGCGCAAACACGTTCTGAATCGCCAATAGTTTCTGTATGGGCGGTTCATCCCTTGTAGTCCGGACATCATACTCCCTTAACCCCTAAACCATATTCTGCAAAAGCAAGCAACTTTTCTTGCTAGTTGATAGCGCAAGGAATGGATGAAAGTTTCTTATAGCAGCTCTTATAGATCCCAAATAGTTGTTCGATCCTTCGCCAGCAAAGTCTGGTATCAAACCACCACCTTTCTTGCTTCTAGGAGCCGGTCCCTTCTTGAAGTTGTTTGTCCTTGCACCTTTGCAAACCCTTTTTTTGAGGTACTCACGTCATCAGAAGCTCAGAGGCATTCCAATGCTTTACGGAACCATGCGCTACGCAACCATGCCTTTGCAAACCCTAAACCACCAAATACCCAAATGAGGCACAATATTTATGGGCCAAGCTGCAAGTATTGTTCGCAGCCATAGCGCCATAGACTGAGGGAAGCAAGAACAACACTCCTACCTGGTTCGCATGGTGAGTTCTTGGAAATCCTGGTCTGGACCTAACACAGCCGGTGATCTTAAGGATGCTCACAACCAGGCACCCATTTGTTCCCATGTATCTGCAGAAAGCCTGATTCCCAAAAAACAATGACCCTAACTGCCCCGTGAACCCTAGACACAAAAAATAGCACCATTTAGTAGTCTCCACGTTCCTGTGCGCTCCTTTTTTGTAACCCGGGACAGAGTCCCTGGCCTGAACTGCAGTTGCACGCACTAACTACAAGATCCGTCATTAAGAGCTTCTTGCTATGCTGGGCTGAGGCTGCAGCCGGTCGCTCCCCCGGCCTTTGTCTTAGAGGTTGTTCGTGGGGAATGAAGGAATGAAAGAAAAAAGGACAGTTGTACATTGCTGAGGATTATGTAAAGAGCTTCTACAGGGATCCATGCTTGTATTGCACAAGAACAACGAGCAAGTATGAGGATTGCATTGGAAACTTTGACGTTCAGCCACATAGTTTGTTAATGTTGCGAGGGACCTTTTTTTCCTCTGCAGTCGAAAATTCGGATTTAGGGTGATGGACTTGTTATCTAAGAATCTATGAACGAGAAGTTTTGGGGTTGGGACTTTGGATTTACAGTTTTAGACCGAGTGAATTAGTCTGCACGTCGAGGGACAGGGACTTAAAGCGTAGGGCCTGTCACAAACGAGTCTGTTCCGTTGTTCCCGGACTAGCCGAGAGAGACCCCACGTTTCCGTTCCAGTCATGGGGACTGAGACCAAAAGCAATGAACGAAAGGCTCAGGGGTGTAGGTCCCAAAGCATAGCATGATCCCCACAATACAGACACTCAAAAAAGGGACCGCCGCCTTTACAGCATCCCAAGTGACAAATTGATTTGCATCATTTACTGCCATAAGCCCAAGGGCAGAGTTTCAGGCCAGGTAGTTAGATCTCAAGTATCTACTATATGTGTCTAGAGGATGTTACCTGGTGTTAAAATTCCCCATCTAGGTTCAAAGCAAGCAAGGAACTGCCCTTCTAAGGCCCGTGTCCTGCGTTGCCTAGACTACTGGTCTCTGGGAATACAGGGATGGTTACAAAGCGCGCAGACCGTGTTGCAGGGATGGTAGTACAGCCTGTAGCCAGTCGTATGTATACACATATAGGACTTTGCCACCCCTATTGCTGTCAAAATCGGGCAAGCCAATGCAGGGGCCCACGCTATAGTAGCAACCCAAGTATAAGGCCTGTGCTGTACGAACTAGGGTAGCCCATCCTGGACAGACAAGTCTGCCAAAACCCTCAACCCAGCACTCTCGATGTGCATTACGGACCCTCAGTTCTTGTTCCAAATGGCCACAAATCCGAGTTCCCAAGCGCCCAAAAAGCAACGCTTTAGCGTCACTTCTCCATGTACGCGTATGGGTAGGGTTGCAGTCAGCCCTATGAAACCCTTAAATAGGACTCCGTCGATTTACCCATATAGGAAGGGACTCCTCAAATGCACAAGTCCCTATGGTGCGCAAGGGCCCCCCTTTGTGAGAAGCCCTCATCACGTTCCCAACTGGACAGCCCGGCCATTCAGGGAACGATCTTCCTGAGAGCGGCAGGGTGCATCAATTAATAGTTCTACGGGAGCTTTTACGAAGAAGAGCTGTGGATAGAACCGGGTGCAGGGTACTGACAGCCCACTTATATCTACCCATGATCCTCCTTGTGCTTGTGGGGTTCTGCGCTTGAGCCATCTTGAGCCTAGGGTCGAAAGGCAAGAGCTTTGTAAAGCTTCACAGGGAACTCGCACATACTACATACCGTCATTATGTGACACCATATCGGAAACAAGTCGGGATTGTGTGAGGTTATGAACGCCTCCTTACCCTACACGCTCCAGCACTCAGGTCATGCAAATAGGCTGCTTGGTATCAAAAACCGTGAAGACGGAATGATTTGGACGCTCAATTTAACCTCTGAACGCAAAACAGTACTCGGGCATTTCTCAGAGATAGGGGTCCTCCTAGTATGAGAATACCAAGCCCTTCATAGTACCACCAAACACGGACGGTCTGACACCCTGAACCCGTTCAAAAACCAGGTGTAGTTGTGCGCTTAGACCTTTGACGCAATGACAGCGATGTCGTAGCCAGTTTGGGTTTGAGGTGGGTTTCGCGTGTAGAAGTAGTGGCCCAAACTTCAAGGCATAACAAGTTCACGGGAAGCATGTATGTTTGATCTAGGTGCTGCAGAATATATGAAAAGCTTGCGCCCAATGGACTCTTCGTACACCGGCGGTCCTTGACAGTGAAACTACTGTCCTGGCCATATTGCCGACAAGAAACCATGGTGCGACGGAAAAGTGTGGGGATGCAACCGGATGAACAGCAACGAGTTCAAACACGTTCCAAGATTGAAAACAAATGCCAGAGAGAACTCCGCCTACACCGAAACTGGGTAGGCTGGATCACCGAGCTGAGTGAGAATCAGCCCTGCCCACGAAGCCACAACCACTTCCCCTGGCATCCCCAAGAGCAATTGTTTCGTGACTAGGTGTGGGTACTATCGCGGGAAACTATCTATAGGGGGTTGGAGCTTTTGCTATGTGGGGGGCATTTGGTTTGAGAGCTGTGTGAGCAAGGCATCTGTCTCCGATGTCGACGTGCCCTCCCCCAAACTAACGCGGAAGCCCAAAGGAGGCTGTCCTTGGAAAGGTTTCCATGCTTGTCTGCGAGAGGGTAAGAAGCGCAGCGAACATTTGGCGCAATTTTGCACAAGTCCAAGAATCCACACATGGATGTCTCTCCACCAGTGTAACCCAGAAGCCTCGCATCCCAAATCATACCCGGAGGTCTGGATGAACTTACGTAGCAGCTGTGCATAGGACCTAAGTATACCCATCAAAATGCGAAATTCGGAGGCCTTGTGTACAACTGAGTAACACATGCCCTTTGAGGGAGGTTTGAACAATGCTGGTACATCCAAATAGGCACCTGCAATACCAATCGCACAAGCATGACTGGGGCCCTCGCCATTTCTGTAGTCATCTGCATTCGCTCTAAGCAAGAAATCTAAGGAGAGCTTCAGTAGGGGCTGAAGTCTTAGGGCTTTTGGGCTTTTGAGATGGGCTTGATCCGGGTTTAGGTCCAAGGATTTGAATTCAAGCTATGTGTGGCTGAGAGCTTTCCATGGTGCAGGTGTGTCTCCCCCATGATGGGTTTGATGGCAAGACCGTGTCAAGACTACCCTGCCGTTACCACTTAAATCAAGCATCGCAACACATGGTTGACCCTGAGTCAATAGACAGGTCTACGAGGTAACGAAATCCTTCTAAGCTCCTGTGAGCTATAGTCTGCACTCCTAGTATCCCGCTTAGTGACCCCTGTAATACCCCCTAATCTGCTGCACAACCCCCCTTTATGGAGTTTAGGCTCTAACTTCATGTATAGATACACATGACATAATAATCCTTTTTCTAGATGTTAAACCCCCCCCCCAATATTAGCACCGCCCCCAATACTAAAACACTCCCCCCCCCGACATTAAAACACACCCTAATATTAAATGCCCCCCTAATATTAAAAATCCACTCAGATTGAGTAATGGGGATTTTGCGAAAACAACTCTTGGAGCAAATGTTACCCGAAAATCCATCTTCCTGTCAAACCCTTGCTGCTGCAAGACTCTAGCAGGGGCCGAGCGCATGAAATATGGGTATCCGTCTGTCTGGGGGATTGCTTGATTTCTTGTACGTGTTCCTTATGAGGGCCCCTATAATAAGGATCACACAGAGGTTGGACTTATACAGGGCCTGTAGTTAAGAAATCCCCGAATGGATGCCCATCGGGGTTTCCAAAAGATTGGGTCCAGTTGGAGATGAACATGCTGCTAGACTATACGATGCAGTTCCTATGATTCAAGTCCAATGTCTCCATCTGATTTGGCCTAATTAGCGCAAGTACCTTTCTCGCCACTCTGCTCAGCCTTTACCATTAGCAACATGAACAACTGTCTGAACATACGGTTCAGGGCGTTCAGGTGCAAGGTTTTCATCTCACTTTGTGTAGTGCAAGTTTCAAGGACCTTCTTGCCTTTCCGCTCTCCTTGATGAACGAAAGCCTTAAATCCTGAACCCAATTGTGGGACAATGTTCCTTGTAACGTGCGATGTGGGGTAGGTTGAGCTGAGGTCATTACTTAGACCTATTCTTCAATACTTTTCGGAGGTCCATGCGCGGCCCTACAAAATGTACAACTCATTATGAGATAGCGAACCTGAGGAATCCGCCGCTGCTCACAACTACCAAAACCTCCAGCCCCATGCTTTCCTTGTGCAAGAAGCGACGATTGGCGGAAAAGTCCAGTCAACTCTCCAGCATATGAAGCATCCGTCAGAACTTACAGTCCAGAGCCAGGTATTCAAAAAAAGCAATGTATACGTGTCTGCATAAATACCAGTGTCGATTCAGAGGTCCAGGGGATAGATGATGGCACTTAGGTACACTTTGGGGCTCGGTATCCTGCATAGTTCCAGGAGCTTTGCATTGCAGCTTTGTAAGGTCTATGCAAGGCGCGGAGCTTGGAGATGCGGGCTGAATGTTGGCTCAGGCTTTATGTAATTTTCCAGAACGTTCGACAAGAGCACCAGTGCCCGATTAAGAACCCCTGCGGCGCCCTATGGCTGAAACTCGCGTCCATGCCTAGACATCCATGGCAAACGAAAGGCTCAAAGCGGCTCACATGTACATGCTTCCAGAAACTGGTGGCGCAACACCCTCGTGTTGGAGGACTTGGTTGAAAAGGTTGTTGCTGCCGTGTACCGATACGTATGGGTGCTAAGCATTGACCCTGGCGCCGGAACCTGAGTTCTCAACCCTGAACCATGCATCAATAGATAAAAACATAGTATGGGGTTGTCAAAATTAGCGCCCCGGCAATTTACAAGGCCCTCAAAGAATCATAGTTTTGACAAACTACCATACCCTTTAAAATCGTTCTTTTTGTAGACTTTAAGGCTCGAAGTGGTTGTTCTTTGTAGATTTGGATCCCAACCTGGAACCGTAAACCCTTAACCCTGGAGCGCTTTATCCATGGACGCAGATGTTCAAGAATATGCAGTCTCTTTGGACTTCACAACAGTGATTGCTCCGATAGAGAATGAAGCCTTGTATTTCTTACACACAGGCCAGCCTGCAGTCAGGGCTTAGGGTCTAGGGTCATGGTTGGATTCCCGATTTCTGGTCTCTTAGCTCCACATCTTCTAAGAGGATTATTGCAACCCCAGCCCCAAAAAGTCGCGTTCCCTGTCATTCTCGCTTATTGGAGTAAAAACCCTATACATCCCTCCAGGCAGTGCGCAATAATGTCTTTGAACCCTAAACTCTGAACCATAAAACGCAGCTCGGTATCTTAGCAAAGACAGCAGCTCTGAGCACTCAAAACAAATGGTAGTTCCCCTTAATACGAGGACACCATCATAATGTAATCCTCCATAGGGCGACCCACAAAAAGTGTTCATAATTGTGAGAAAACCCTAACTGAAGGCTTTCTCAACCTAAGAAGTGCTTGGAGATCGTAGGGGTCTATGGTCAACCATATATTGGAGGTTGTAATCGCACTACACGGGTCCTTATTAGGGATGCTGTAGGGACTGTTTCGAGAAACTGCCACATGGCACAGGATCCTAGGAAATAACTAAAAACGGGGAAGGCCCCCTTCGGAGTTTGAGACGGCTACTCCCAACCCTTTAGCCTGATCAACACCCTTGTCTATAGCTGCCCGCAATCACTGAAGGGCGCCTGTGGTTCGGCGGCACCTCAGGTGCTAAGCGTAGCTCTGAGTCCTTTTCTTGGTGCGTTGAAGCCGGTTTAAGGTGTAAGGCAACGTGGGACGTTGTGATGCGGTACGCAACCGAAACATGCAACATACTATCTGATAATATCTGATACCACCTTTCCTTAAAACATGCATCCTGCGACTTCGTAACCATCCTCATCCAGTACGTGGCTACAGCAACGCTTCAGATGGCTTCTTGCCCAAATGGCGATCAACTGTCGAATTCAAGTCGGCAACTCTGACTCAAATTTGAGGGCCTTTGAAGCCTTGTGAATCTGGCTATACAGGGTGAAATGAATAGCTGCTCAAAGTTGGGTGTTTGATCGTGGCTTGGATCCTGAGCTCTGCAAGCAGGAAAGACAGAAACCCATGCGGCTGTGGCCAAGAAATTAGCTGAATAAGGGTCCCTGTTGAAAGGGTTTGTTGGCAGTATCCGGGGGGAGATCTACCTATCTCATCTGGAGTTCACATCATGTAAACACAGATGTCCAGGCCCAAGGCTCACAGTGACTATCAGCCGCGGCTTTCTAACGGCAATGCAAGGATTGCATGACGTCTTCATCTGCTCAAGGTGTCCAGTCCGCTTTTATAACATCCTTGACGGTAGGTTCTGGCTAAGTACCTGAGAGATCATCCCGAAAGATCCTTTGCATGTAATAGGCTCTGTGGAACAATTCCTCTGTTTAAGCTCCATTTGGGGTGCGGTCGGGTAAGGTCAGTACATTGTGGGGATCCACGCACAAAAGACATGCTAAACTGACTCCAGTTGACTCATGGGTATATTCTCTGTGGGATTTTGCCGGGGTCACCTAAGACTCTGAGGCACGAATCCGGCCAAATCGTTTCCCGCGGTCTTCTGAAGCAAGCATTCATCCAACACCGCCATGCTTTGAACTCACGGTGCTTCCTGCGTGCAGACTTTGTCAAACGGTGCGGAGACCGTCCCCAAGCACCTGCACACTGGCACGTAAAGACCTGAAGTAAATGAACCCGCTCTTCCTCAGGAAGGAGCTACTCAGCTAAACCATCCGCAGAATTTGGTGGCTGTACACAAAGAGTCTGAGGATCTGTGCCCATGACGACACATGACTCGTAAATAGGCAAATTTAGCATCGGCTTTGGGGCCGTCACGGGGAATTTACTCAGGGTCAACCATCAAGCTGTCGAACTAATACTAAGCACTCTCTACGCTGCTTTGGCTCCATGGACAAGCCCACATTGCCGCTGGCAAAACATCCCCAGAACTGCACGCAAGGGATTCGTCCCTCTGGTAAGACAGCGACTCATCGGTGTCGACGGGCCCCAGTCCAGGCGGCTCGTTGGAGCCCGCTTCACTAGTGGCTTGTTCTGCTGGCTTCAGGGAATCGTCGCCCCACTTTGGTTCCAGTAGTAGCTTGTGCAGCTTCCGCTCCACCGCCTCACTCGGCCACATCTGCAGGGCACGTTGCACCAGCCAGCGCTGTTGGAAGGTACTGAGCTCCAACATCTTCATGGCTTCCGGTAGAAACTTCAAAGCAGACCTGATCAACTCCCCACTGCGGCAGCACCAAATTGAGTGCACCACTGCGTTGGCTACGATCCGATCGAACACGGCGCCACCTTGCGAGCACATGGACAAAACATACTGCAGAAGGAGGCCGTGGGCTTTGTCACGCGGATCCACCTGCGCAAGCCTAGCGATCACATCCTCTCCAGGCAGAGAAGCAGCATGGTTGCTCACAGCATAGCCTTGGTCACACACCTCTGTAATGAGCGGCGGCGCAGATCCATTTATATTCGGGCCCCTGCCAGCGCTCGCCGGCGCGTCGCCCGGCTGCTTCACCGCATCCCCCGCTGCTGGACCGAAACGGCCCAAGCTTGCCAGAACACTGGATCGCACTTTGGCATCCTCATCCTTGAGCGCTATGACCAGTTGCTGCAGGGCGTCAGCTGCTGCAAAACCACTTCCGCCCAGGGCCTCTGCAGCAGCGGCTCGTACCAGTACATCTTCATCCTTGAGAGCTACCATGAGCAGCGGCACAGCATCAGCTGCTGCTGGACCAACCTGGCCCAAGGCCTCTGAAGCAGCAGCTCGCACCCATGCACCTTCATCGTTCAGAGCTGTGATGATGAGATGCGGCACGGCATCAGCTGCTGGTGGACCAATCTTGCCCAAGGCCTTTGAAGCAGCGGCTCGCACTGCTACAGCTTTATCCTTGAGCGCTATGATCAGATTCGACAATGCATCAGCTGCTACAGGACGTGTCTGGCCCAAGGCCTCTGCAGCAGCGGCTTGAACACGTGCATCTTGATCCTTGAGCGCTATGATCAGGTGCGGCACAGCATCAGCTGATGCAGCAGCAATCTTGCCCAAGGCCTCTGAAGCATCGGTTCGCACGCGTGCATCTTCATCCTTGAGAGCTATGAAGAGCTGTGGCATAGCATCAGCTGCTGGTGGACCAATCTTGCCCAAGGCCTTTGAAGCAAGGGCTCGCACCCTTGCATCTTCATCCTTGAGCGCTATGTCCAGCTGCGGCACAGCATCAGCTGTTAGAGGACCAATCTTGTACAAGGCCCTTTCAGCAGCGGCTTGTACCAGTACATCTTCATCCTTGAGAGCTACCATGAGATGCGGCACAGCATCAGCCGCTGCTGGGCGAATCTTGCCCAAGGCGAATGCAGCAGCGGCTCGCACACTTGAATCTTCATCCTTAAGCGCCATGTCCAGCTGCGGCACTGCATCAGCCGTTGGAGGACCAATCTTGCGCAAGGCCTTTGAAGCAGCGGCTCGCACCCTCAATTGGTCCTTGAGCGCCATGATGAGCTGCGGTACGGCATTAGCTGCTGCTGGACCAATCTTGCCCAAGGTCTCTGCAGCACCGACTCGCACCAGTGCGTCTTTATCCTTGAGCGCTATGACCAGCGGCTGCACAGCATGAGCTGCTTCTGGACCAACCTTGGACATGGGCTCTGTCGCGATAGCCATGGCTGGCACCATTACCGCTTCCACTGCCGCTGCGTTTGCCTTTGCTCCTGCTGCTCATTTGATCGTCAGATGACCTAGCACGGGCTTAAGGCTCAGAGACATGAAAGGTCAATGCCACGTAATGCTCTGGTGCAGGGAGCCCACAAAATCTTACAGCGTGCAGAAACCATGGTGGCGGCACTGCACGATCAAGATTCAGAGGAGCCGGGGCTCAGCTCTCCGGTTGTAGCGGCTCGTGATAAATCTTGCGAATCTTATCTTTGACCTGAGAAATACTCAAGCATCCTTCGCATGGATTTTCGAAGCTGGTCATGTGAATGCAAAGACATGCGCTGCCACGCATCACTACGCAGGTCACCGCTTAAACGTTGTCCTCACATAAACAAGACTTGACCCAATGCCTGTAAGTCCTGGCGACCAACCAGACATGCGCGACCCTCGGTGGCGCATGAATTCCTCCATCATCAGCAAGGTTGGACAAAGACTTTGATCGTTGACCCAGTAATAGGTTCCGTGACCTGATGATGGTCTGATAGACGCCGCGGCAAATGCCGTGTACTGAGGCCAGACTGGGAATTTGAACGCAAACCTCCCTAGCCTGAAGCCCCGAACAAATATCAACCCCACAAAGTCTTTCACACACTGGGATCTTCAGTTTGATGCTGCGTACTGATCCCAAAACAGGCGCTCAATATGAGAATTTCTGAGGCACTTGCATCCAGGGGCGACGGGCTGCCATAGAAAGTAGCTGCCCGGGAGCCTCAGCTAAGCAAAGTTGTGTTGGGGTTGGGACGATTCTCTAATGTGAGAGCAGTTGTCTTGTTTTCTGTACGGGTTTACAGTCAGGCTTCGTTGCTTGTAGTTGTGGGGATGCAGGGTCACAGGCTTGGTGGACTAGACTAACTGTCAGTAAGGCATGGAATGCATGGAGGAATGGATATCTGTAGTAGCTTAGTAGCCCCTATGTACTCCCCCAACCATGTAACGTAGACCCTTGACTAATAAACCCCCTCCCTTTATAGGGATTCTTGTAGGGATCCTAATATTGAGGCCCTTAAAAGGAGGGGGTTTATTAATCATGGGTCTACATAACCCTAAGTAGTAGTTTCCATTTTCTTTTCCATTTTCCCAATATATCCCCTCTATCCCGTGAACCCTAAGCCCTATCTACGCCTATAATATAACCCCTATATAACCTCATGGGTCTACGTTAGTAGTTTCCCTTTGTCCGTCTCCTCCACCAGCAAGCTATGGCACCGGACTTAGCAGCCGACCTGGGATAAACGTTGTTCGTACCAAATAACCCAATGGGGTTTCGGGTTCAGTGGCTTAGGGTCTATAGGGCCCACTGTAAGCATGATTCATAGACTTAGCTTAGGGAAGCCCTACATTCTTCGCATGAGCCTGTGTCTCCTCTGCAACAAGGCCCATGATCTTTGAGATGCCCAGAGCGAAGCACCGATTTGTTCCCATGTAACCCTGGAAAACCTATGCTTCCCAAAGCCCTGAGCCTGAGCCAATCTACCCCCAGAACCCATAAACCCTTCAATCCTTGACTGTCAGTGTAACCCCTAAACCGCCAAACCTTAATAGAGCCGAAGCAGTATCTAGTACCATACAAATAAAACCTACACTGGGCCCTAACGCGTGTAAATATCACCTACATTGGTCAAGTTGCATCCGTAGGGGTAGTATCAACTTTCATGTTCATTCCCGTCTATAACCTCTACTTGTAAGCCCAATTACCGACAACTTTAGGAGTTATTGCTTGTAAACTGTAGGCAACTGGCTTTACAGGTGCACCCTGGCACAAACAGGTTTGCGGTCTTATGCTGGGCTGAGGCTGCGGCCGGGAGCTCCCCGGCCTTTGACTTACAGGTTCTTAGTAGGGACTGAAAGAGAATGGAAAGTAGTACATTCCCAGCAAGTATCCAAAGAGCTACTATCCATGCTTGGATCACATAAGAACAACAAGCAAGTATGAGGCTTCATGATTTTGGGCTCTCTGCTCAGGATTGGATACTTTGACATTCGGGCGCGTAGCTTCAAATGTGTTATGGTGCCTTTTTCCTCCCGTCATGCAGTCGGAAAATCGGGTTTGGGGTGAAGGGCTTGCGGTCCAGGCTGAGATGTTTAGTGGCTAGGACTGTGGATTTATTCTTTTACAGCGGGTGAATCGGTCTGCGCATCGATGGACAGGGATGGGCCTCTCATGAATGAGCTCGAGGTGTGGACCAGTGGTTGAAGGCTCAAGGTGGGTCTGTGGACTGGTGGAGAGAGACCCCATGTCGCCGTTCCGAGTCAAAGGGGTGGGGACCAATGCGATGAATGAAAGGTTCTCGGCGCGGGCCCCAAAGCATAGCTTGATCCCCACAATACAAACTGCTAAAAACCGGGACTCGCCCCCGCTTGCATCCCAAGTGGCAATTTAATTTGCATCCTTACTCACACAGTTTAAGGCCGGGTAAGTAGAACTCAAGAATTTGTTATAGAAGGCTACATGGCCATGACTTGAGTTTTCCCTATCTGGGTATAAAGCTAGCACAGAAACTGCCGGGCAAAGGCCCCTGTCCTGCTTTGCTAAACTACTGGTCTCTCAGACTGTGTTGCAGGGCTGGTAGTAAAGTACAGCCTGTATCGAGTTGTATTGCCGTCAAAATTGAGCAAGCCAATGCAGGGACCGACGCTGAAGTACCCAGGTATAGGGCCTGTGCTGTACGAACTAGGGTAGCCCATCCTGGACAGACAAGCCAGCACTCTCGATGCGCATGACAGACCCTCAGTACATGTTCCAAATGGCCACAAATCCGATTTCCCAAACCCACAAAAGCAACACTTTAACCTCGCTCCTCCATGTACGCTTTGGGGTAGGGTTGCACCAGACCCTAAAAACCAAAAAGAATGACAATTTTTTCGAACTACCCCCCACAGTAAGGGGTGAATCCCTATGGTTCTTGGTCCCTCTTGCGAGAAACGCTCATCACGTTCCCAACTGGACAGCCCGGCCATTCAGGGAACGATCCTCCTGGGAAAGGCAGCCAAGAATTGCAGTGTCTACGTGGTGATGGATAGTTCGAAGGAAGCTTATAAGAAGGAAGGCTGCAAATATGAGCTGGTGTAGGGTACCCTACAGCCCACTTATACCTATCCATGATCCTCCTTGTGCTTTTTGGGGTTCTGCGCTTGAGTCTAGAGCCGAATGGCATGAGCTTTACAAAGCTTTACAGCGGTCTCGTACATACTAATTCATACAATCGTTATGTGGCACCATATCGGAAACATGTCAGGATTGTGTGGGGTTACGAATGCCTCCTTACCCTACAGGCTCCAGCACTCAGGTCATGCGCATAGGCTACCTTGCAGCAAGACTCGTGAAAACTGAACATTTTTTGGGACCGAAATTGACACTCTGAACCCAAAACAAGATTCAGGTATTTTCCAGAAATATGGCCCCTAATATGCCCCGACAAAACTCTAATGGCCTTCTTGGTACCGCCCAACACGGACCTTAAACCCTGAATTCCATTCAAAAAGCAGTTGTGCGCTTAGACCTTCGAGGCCATGAAAGCCATTTCGTAGTTGGCTTGGGGTATGAGATGGGTTGCAGCTCTAGCTAGCGGCTTACACTTCAAGGCATAGCAAGTTCACGGGAAGCTTGTTTAATCTTGCTGCTTATCAATGACGTGAAAAGCATGCACGTCAACCCGTGGACTTTTCGTACACAGGCGGTCTTTTACTCTTAAATTACTGTCGTGAGTTCTGAACATGTCTGATGCTTGGCAACCCAAGCCCCCCAAGCAGAACCCTGCAATAGCCGCATGGCTCAATCCTGCTGCCGGTCTGCAAATGCGAGCCCCGGATTGCCAGATTTGAAATGCTTGACGGTGTTTGCAACATCCCTGTATTAACTTACCGTATAGACCCCTTAACCCCTTAATTGTCCTTAAACTCCGTCTCTGTAAACTTCAATACCCCGACTATGAAGGCCTGCTACTTGCTAGAAGTCCAGAGCTTATGCTAGCTAGACGCCTGCTTGGGCAAGGATGCTGCGGACCAAACTCCTGCAGATTCCTACTTGTCTAGGTTCCTGAAACCAATATGATTCTACCTTTCAGACTTTTCACGTGTTGTTGCCGACAAAAAACAAGACTGCAAAGGAAAAATGTTGGGAGGCAAACTATTATGGGAAGCCATCATTAGGTGGTTGGGGCTCTTACAGGGGGCAGATTTGAGAGCTGCATGTACGATACATCCGTGTCCATTCTCGTCTTGCCCTCCACCGAGTTAACACGGAGGCCCGAAGGCCAACAAATACTATACTGTCCTTGAAAAGGGCAGCTGGTTTGCATGCTAGTCTGTGAGAGACTAGAGTTAGAGGCAGCCTGAAAGACAACAAAAACACACAAAAAAAAGGTTGCATTCCGCGAGTGTAACCCGACAGCCTTGCATCCCACATCATACCTGGATGTCTGGATGAATTCACATAGCAGCTGCGCGTAGGACCTAAAACATGACCTTACTTGGGGGGCCTACATATATCTGAGTAACAAGTGCGCATTCAAGGAGGCTGTAAAGATCCTGGTACATCCAAGTAGGCACCTACAAAACCGATCGGATGAGCGTGGGAGCCATACCCATGACCGGGGCCCCGACCATTTCTGTTGTCATCTGCATACGCTCTACGCGAGAAATCTAAGGAAAGCTTCAATTTGAGTTGAAGTCTTAAAACTCTGCGTGCTGCTGAGATCAAGGGCTCAGACAGGGCTTCGGTCCAAGGATTTAAGTTCAGGCCATATGGTAGTTTCCCAAAAAAAGGGGGACCCCAATATAGACCCCAAAATACTATAGTCCTTATTATAGGGACCCTCAAAAAGGTAGCCCGAATTTTGGGAAACCCTAATCCCTAATCCCCTATATAATCCCAGTTTCCATTTCATTTTCCATTTTCTTTTCCATTTGATTCTCCATTATAGTGGGTACGGGAAACCCCCATATCGAGTCGAGAGCTTCAA